TTGTGGGGGCAGCACATTGGGCAGGCAGAGCATGTGGTGGTGGCAGCAGCTGCTCAACAACGGACTGTTTAGGAGTTCCTAACATGGGTAAAACAACTGCACCCCCTGCTCTGGAAACCAGCACTCTCCAACCCCTGCTATCCTGTAGAGTTTGCCCACTCTGCTTGTTACAACAGTGTTGTGATCCATTTTATCTAATGAATATTAAATGGAAGGTTAAATGGGAAGGTCAGTGGCTTGTTACTTGAGGAGGGATACTTAGGCAATGGCTTGTAGTTAAAATGTTATAATGAGAAGCAGGTTCAAAGTTCTGTGTTATGAGGGGTTGTAAAGCCTAGGTCTCCTATTTACTGGAGAAGTGTCTTAACCATTAGGATATCTGGGTTCTTTTCACTTCTGGCAGGTACATATTCACCTACCATGTTCAACTACAGTTGATATAATACATTATATTAGGGTTACTTAGTCCAGATGGTTACCGAACCTGAGCTAAAAAGGTAGGTGCATGCTATCCTATGGAAGATACATTTGAAAGATCTAATATCTTAGGATTCAGCAACTGTTGTCTTCCAGGGACACAGGATATATCAGGGACAGGGAAATCACATATAAAGATGTGGTATTTGTAGGTAATTCTTTCAATATTTTATTCCCATGATTCCTAAACTGGTACTCAACCTCCAAATGACTTAAGGCCAAGTCTGTTTGGAACTCACACGCATGTACATGTAGGTGACCTAAAATCTACCCAAATCAGCAGGAGAATTTTCCTATTTAACTGGATGCATATGCCTAGAATCCCTACAGCAGCAATGGGGAAATATGGGCATCTCCAACAGATAATCCAGAAAGGCAGGAGGCACCTAGAGTTAGTGAATAGGAAACACTGCATGTGGGATGTGTCCAACCTTCTGCCCGTCTCCAGAGCTTAGGCATCTGAGTCACACAGCACATTAATCATTTCTGTATTTCTGTAGTACAGAATACCTAGCACTGCATCTGGATATAGGCACTACAGGAGAAGTAGTGCTCCTTTTTTTCAATAGTGTAATGGTTAGAGCAATAACTCAGGAAGTCAGAAGGCTGAATACTAACCCTTGCTTATCCTGGGAGAACTTTCCATAAGAGGGGTGGAAGACTTTCCCACCCAATGTATTCTATAGCCTGTTGGTTAGATCAGTCTCTGGAGATGTGCCTTCCAGTTCTCTCAGGATAAGGAAGGGTTAGTATTCAGCTTGGATTCCACTTCCTGCTCCCAAGGCTTTTTATGCATTTCAAATTAAGAACCCATTGGTTAAAAATGAGAAATACCACTACCAAGACAGAATGGAATCCAAGATATCACCATTTCCATAACTAGGAGGTTATAGAGGCAGCCTCCTTTTTGCTTACCCTTCTTCTGTCTTTACAAATCTGGCACTCTTGCCTACTGACTGAGAGAACTTGAAGGCACATCTTCAGAAAGTGCTCCTTAACAATAAGCTACAGAATACATTGGGTGGCAGAGTCTTCCACCCCTCTTATGGAAAGTTGTGCAACGCACTTAAAGTTATAGCATTATCTAGGCTAACAGACGTTCAGCATTTGATGGTGGCAGCTGAATGCCTCCAAGAATTGGTCAAGGCTAGGAGGCAGTGGGTGCTGTAGCCTCCTGTAGAATCCAGCCAGCTTGATTGCTACCCAGCTGCTCCCCCTTCCCTGCCTGCTGGCTGGCTGCAAAGAACCAGGCAGGATTCATTTCCCTGTGTGGGGTGGCAGTGTGAAGGCATCTTGGGGGCTGTGCCCCCTCCCTGCTGGTGCCATGGGGCACCAGGGACCCTCTCCTGCTGGGGAGGGTTCTGTTCAGGGCATCCCCCACCCCCAATCACTGCCCAACTGCTCACTCTCCCTGACCTGCCGGCTGGCTTCACAAGGCAGAGATTCTCTGCTTCCTCCCTATGGCAGACCATGACATGTAACCCTTTTAGAGAATCGTATACAAGTTCCCTAAAGCATTATAATTTAGAGCACCTTCATTCGCTACCTAGTTTAATGAAGGTTACTTTTTCACACGATTGGCTAATTCTAAAGTGTGCTGCAACTATGCATGTGTGTTATGACATGTCTGTAGTCCACTTGTAGAGGCCAGATTGCATGAACAATGTCACTTCTGTCTACACTCTTAGAGTCTTTTGAGCACCTGACACATTATATTTCTCTCCTGATTAATGTGTTAATCATGCCATAAACAGCAACTAGTCACATGTACACTGACACAAAATGGCAAATCAGCCACAAAAGATATCACTCAAAAAAGTGAAACATCTTTGTAGCTGGTTTGTATTGCGCCATAAATTGAACATGTGGCATGTCCCCTCATCAACAACAATTAGCTAAGTATCACCACCACAACTTGGGCCTCCCCAAGTCTGGAACCTGGCTGGGGGCTACCCTGATCCTGATGCTGGCAAACTGCTGATTGTCCACTTCAGGATGTGGGTTTGCCTGGATTTGACACCTTAAAGAACCTTGTTCTGCAGTCTACAAACTTGAGGTCTCCTCAAGTTGTCAGGTACTGGGAAGACTCAGGGCATGGGGAAATTCCAAGATCTAGCTCATATCCTTCCTCTGCTTGATCCTAAGGATTAGACAGGGGACAGCCTGGGTCTGAACTGGGACTGGGGCTGTTCAGTTCCGAATCAGCTGAGTTTCAGGGTCTAGCAGGGGGTAGTCCAGCACCCTTAGCTCCTTGTTTCTCAGGCTGTAGATAAAAGGTGTCAGCATGGGGTTCTCTACTGTGTAACAAACAGAAACAGCTTGTTCTTGGTCTGGCAAGGAGTCAGAGCTGGGGTGCATGCAGCTGAAAACTGCAGTCCAAAAGAACATGGCAACAACCATCAGGTGGGAAGCACGAATGGCTTTGCATCTGCCCTCAAAGGAGCTGTTCTTAAGGATCACTGAGACAATGTGTGTGTACAAGATGGATATCTCCAGGGTGATGAAGATACCTTTGAAGATTCAGAATACAAATAAAATTACCTCACTGATCCTCATGGAGAGGTTAAGCAGGGGAACCACATCACAGAAGAAGTGGTTGATGACATAGGAATGGCAGAGGGTCAGTTGGAATTCACAGCTATTGTGTATCATTTAAATCACAAAACCATAGATGTAGGAATCAATCTAAAGCAAAATCAGATCCTAATATGAAGATCCTCAGTTCATCTCTCATGGAAAGCAATATACTTCTGCTATTAAAAATAGAAACAGTTTAAAAATGTTTTCCCCCTTTCATTTCTGTTTCTATTACATGCTGCTTGCCATTAACATTTGACTCAGTACATCAGTTGGACTGGTCATGTGCAAAATCTAAACTCATCCTTTGGGTGCATCTACTGAGGTGTTACAATACCTAACAATAAGGAGGCTGCTCATAGGAACATAGTTTGAGAAAACAGGGAAACCAGAGTAGGGCAAGTTGTTGGTTATAGTTTCTACTGTCAGGGCTGTTTTATTTATTTTACATTAGATAGTCAGGAGATGGAAAAAAAAATCCTAATAGGAGAAGAGGGGGAAGACCCAGCTGCATGCCCTAAATACTAAGCTATTCAGTCAGGGATTCTGTTCTTTGCTCTCTGTTTGGTCCCATGATTTTTGCACTCTTGAAAGTCCTATGGCCCATATGAAACAGAAGAAGGAAGCAATTTGCCCATAACTGCGTTATGGCTTGGTGACTTGTTCACTTGATGGACATGGGTTTAAATCCCTTGGCCTGATGCTTTCTGATTGAGTATCCTAACTACTAGGATGCACCAGGTCATGAAATAGGGAAGTGAGATAAGTTCTAAGGCCTACCTTGCTGTGGAAGCCAAACTTTATATTAAATATGATGCTGTCGGTATGCATTAGACATCACTGAAGCATACCTAAGGGACTGGACTTCTGGGTGGGTTTTAGGTCAAGTTTTGATACTAACGCACACTGGCTGCCTATACATGTGCTCATTTGTGTTCTAATTAGAGTGCTCCAGTGTTGCCTCACCGCCATGTGTATTAAGCCTCTGCACATTTTTAAATGGCTGCAGGGGCACTTTATCTAGACCCCGTTGAATGAGCTTTAGATAAAGCATCCCACAGCCATTTGAAAACACATGAGGGCTTAATACATGTGATGGTAAGCCATTTCAATTAAAGCAGCTGTCCAGGAACCACTCTAATAAAATGCCTCCCTCCACACCCTGAGTATGTGTATAGGGAGCCCTTATCTCTCACAGTGGAGCTTAGATGGGAGCTAGAAGCCTATCTGCTTGGGTTCAATTGCTTTTAAGAAGGCCCCAAAGTTCCCAAGTTAAGACACCTTAGGAGCTTTACAGTCTAAAATATACATGCCAAATGAGTTTCGGGACTGCTCTAGTGGATATTTTCTGGATTGCTTATTGACTCTTAGTTGCCCAAATTCTACTTCAGTCCTGTTTAGGTCCCTAATTGCCTAATCTGGATTTTGCCCCAGGTAAGTAAATTCAGTAATCAAATATTAGCATTTGCCCAGGGTGTTTTGTTGTTTCATTGACCAGGTGTCTTTCTCTTTGGTGTCCATCACTGTAATATCTCCTGGCTACACTGTCACTTGGGCTATGTTTCCACACAAGAAAGAGCTCATTTGATTACCATCCAGGCTAGCCACATGTTCAGTCCTGGCCTGTAAAACTAAATGTGGGTACTTACCCATTTACACTCTCAAAGTAGGTATGGGGAAGAGTCAGGAGTGAGCTGGGAAGGTATATCAGAAACTGAGACTCAAGTGTCTCATTGTTACTGCTGGAGCTGGGCAATATATTTACAGCACTCTGTTTAGTGCTGGACCTAAAGTAACAAGCCCACCCTCCATTAGTATTTCTGCAAGACATGGTTATGATTTAAACAGCATCTGAGAGAACACAATGCCTGGGCCTGCTCTATCAACATTATAAAGAAAGAAGTGGAGTTTATTTTTGTTTTTCCATATCATTTTATTAAGTGCAATCACCTTGAAAATACTTTCCCTCTTACTAATCTTTTCATGGCATTCTTAACTTCTTTATTCTTCATACTATAAATCAAGGGGTTCAGCATGGGAATCACTACTGTATAGAACACGGATGCCACCTGGTCTTGCTCTGGCAAGTAACTTGTATTAGGGCGTAAGTATGTAAAGATTACAGTCCCATAAAATACAGTCACAGCCATCAAGTGAGAGGTGCAGGTGTTAAAGGCTTTGAGTCTACCTTTAGTGGAGTGGATCCTCAGGATAGCAGCCAGGATGTACAGGTAAGAGAAGAGGATGATGCTGAGGGAGCCAATAGAGGTAAAACTAGCTAAAATACAGATAATAATTTCAGCACGGGAGCTATCAGAGGAGGAAAGGGCTAGTAATGGAGGGGTATCACAGAAGAAATGCCTGATGATGTTGGGTCCACAATATGATAATCTGGTAATAAAACACAGAGTAATCAAAGCATTTGTGAAGCCAATGAAATAGGATCCAGCAACCAATGGAACACAGGTTTTATGGGACATAATTGCTGAGTACAGTAGTGGATTACAAATGGCCACGTAGCGGTCATACGCCATTGTGGATAGAAGGAAGCACTCTGTGCACACCCAGGCAATGAAAAAATACATTTGCACAAAACATCCAACGTAAGAATTGTCTTTGCTGTTTGACAAGAAGTTCATCAGCATCTTGGGAGTCACAACAGATGAATAGCAGATATCAACTACAGATAGGTTACACAGGAAGAAGTACATGGGGGTATGAAGCTGAGAATCAGTCCTGATCAGCATGATGATCCCAAAATTCCACAGGAGAGTGATAACATAGATTACTAGGAACAACACAAAGAAGGTGCGCTGCATGTCTGAGTGATCTGAGAGTCCGATGAGAATGAACTGGGACACCCCGGTACAGTTTTTCTCTGCCATGCTCTCCAGTCTCCACCTGAAGGATGAACAAACATAAGATGACAATGCATAGTTGGTGCACGTTCTGTGTGGAAATAAGGCACTCAAGGTCACATGCATATATTTCCCCACACAATTCTGAAACATGGTCTGATTTATGTTGTTACATAAATCAGTAACAACAGTTACATTATGCTGTCTAAATGGGGGGATATATAAATGATTGAGAAGTCAGTGGGTGGGAGGCTTGGTGTGTGAAGAGACATGGACATGGATGAATGTATGGTTGCAGAATGAATTGTTTTCTGATTGAAAGGTTGATTCTTGATTTCAGTGAAGTAATATACTACCAAGCTGGTATTTTTTGTGTGCATGCCCTGCAGAGATCATGGGGCACCCTCCAGCTAAGGTGAAAAAAAACCCATAATTACTATTTTCCAAGTTGCTAATAGGAATGTACAGATATTTTCTGATAGGAACGTCTTATCCAGTAATACAAGTTCCTTGAAACTGGGGCCACGGCTAGTGGGAGCACCTCAACAGTTTCCTGGTAAAGCAGTGAACCTGACAAGCGCATCAAATTGATAGAGCAGCCACTTGATCAGGGAGCTTCTGGTAATAATTGGACCAAAACCAAATTTCAAAAACCCCAAATGTCCTGGCAACCTCCGAAATCCTGCTTGTGGGTCATCTCATAGAAGCTTACTCCAGGTCTGGGATAGCAAGGATCAAGAATCAACCATCCTTAGAGATTTTTAAGGCATGGCAAGACAAAGCCTTGGCTGGTATGATGTAGTTGGGGATAGTCCTGTTTTGATCAAGGGTTTGGACTATATGACCTCTTCCAACCTTAATTTTCTATGATTTTCTGTGATTTAAGTCATTTGGAAATGTTAAACACTAGATCAGTGTTTTCCATGAACCTTTTTCAACTACTGATGAACAGTTTTCAGTTACTGTTCACCTTGGCCAGCCCACATTAAATAAGTTCTCGAGTCTTACAGCTCATCTACACTTAACCATTAGTAGATGGAAGAACTCAAGTGGTGCTCCTAGACCAGCTTCTGATCAAGCAGAAAAAACTTTAGCCTGTGTTTAGTGGTACTTTAAACATTAACTAGGTAGGAAGGGTGGTAAGTTCAAGCCTGAGTGTTACTGATGAGGATGCAGTTACAGGCTGCAGCTTCAGTCATCACAGCTCATCTGCAGTTCATCCAGTAACTCTTCATTGCTAAGCAAATCACTCTGTCTAGCTTGACAAAGACTTAACTGGACACTTGATAATCCCAGGCAGCAGCAGCATGCAGGGCAGTGTCAAGGGCTGTGCTCCTGGTGGTGGCAATGGACAGGCTGTCAGTGCAGCTGCTCCTATTTTTCATTTCTCCCTCAGGTTTGGAGCCTCATTTGTGCCTCTCACACTTCATTACACTAGTACTGACTGTTAACAAGGTGGCTCCTTCTCACTCCTTTGCTAGTTCCAGGGAAACTACTTCAAGGCACTAATTTGAACGACTTTTCCTGAAGGCAACCTGTCAGTTTCACAATGAGAAATCCAGATTACAAGTATGGACCCCTTCAGTGATCAATGATACACATGATGAAGTGCATAACTAGATGTAGCAATCTCCTTAGATTAGAAGTGAGGCACATTGAAGCTGGGGATGCCACTCTGTAAATATTAAACAGAGAACTTCAGGGACTAGGGATTGTCTAGTTAGCAGCAACATAGCTAAAAGTTTTTGGTTAGGGAAACTTCCTATATATATCATTGCCTTAAATGCTAAACCATACACGCAAAGGATGTTATTTACAAACACTTTTGCAACAGTCTGTAATTCATATGATTAAGGCACTGAACTGGACTTCCCAAGAACTGTACTCTGATTTCTGTCAGGCTCCTTCCATGACAAAAAATGATGTAGTAATTTTGGGAGCCTAAGACACATTTTCAAAAGTACCTGGAGCCACCATTGAAAGGGGTTTCTAGATCCAAGATCCTAAGGAGTTTAGCACTGCAGTGCCTAATTCTTAAATGCCCTGACACCTACTTAAATTTCAAGGTCTGAGTGAGGTGACTTGTCTCCATTTATATTACCTGCAGAAAGTTTGGTGCCAGTCTTTCTTCCACTCCACCTATCCAAGGAACAAAATAATGAAAATGAAGCCTAGGTTAGAAATATATCACATTAATTTTATAAATATATATTGTTTTCTTTTAGACCTAAATGCCTAAATAATTTCCAGTTCCTAAATATTTATTAATAGTGTTTCATGTTGTTCTCACCTACCAAATAAGACTTACCAATATCCAAACAGCCTTTGGAATGTCACTCCCATGTCAGTCTTTGCTGTGACGGATGTCTAAAGAAGACAGATCATTTTGACATCTCTAAGAAAGTAAATAATTTAAGAAATAAAATAAATGACTTTCTTAGAATTTGGAAAATTCTGCAGCTGTTACAGCTGTGAAGCAGACAGCTCAATTCAGACAACCGATAACACTGAGAATTTGAGGTTAATTGGATCCTCTTAAGGGTTGCTATTCTACTAGTGAAGTGATATTTATACTGCACTTTGATCTTTAGAAGAGAAATCCTCAAACCACAAACCTTCTAATTTCCTTCAGAGAAGACACTGAGAAAGTGGTGCATCCTTGGGAGAAAAAAAAAAAAATTGTAATTACATAGCACTGCTTTCAAAGTCATACTGTCTGGAAAATAGCCAAGTGCCAATACCCAGAAGTGCATGTTTTGCAGAGCAGGGCAATAATAGGGGAATATGAGCTCAAACCCATGAAATACCTCTTGGTATTTGAGTGATCACTACAGAAACATAAATCAGCCAGAAGAAAAAGAACAGGGTAGTTCTTCAGAATGGGATAAAGATGCTTTCTAGGCTAGTTTGATGGTGAGAAATACAACTGATATTGTTCACAATTTGTGATGGGTGTTTTCTGGCTGTATGAAATGAGTTGTGTGCCTCATAGCATCTGAAAGCATCACAGGGTTGTAGAACTAGTGCTGGGTGGAAGGTATTTAGTTTATCTGCATGGACAAATTCCAATTTTTTTTTCTGGCAAACAATTTAAATTGGTATTGATTTTTAAGTGCTTTCAGGTGAATAAAATGATTTATAAAAAAGGTGAGTCATAGAAAAGCAGGTATTTGAAATTCAACTCCCACCACTTATCTCATCTTTGTGCCCTCTACTCCTCCAATCACAGAATCATAGAATTATAGAAAATTAGGGTTGGAAGAGACCTCAGGGGGTCATGTAGACCTACCCCTTGCTCAAAGCAGGACCATCCCCAAACAGATCATTCCAGCCAGGGCTTTGTTGAGCTGAGCCTTAAAAACCTCCAAGGATGGAGACTCCACCACCTCTTTAGGTAACATGTACCAGTGCTTCACCACCCTCCTAGTGAGAAAGTTTTTCCTAATATCCAACTTAAACCACCCTTGCTGTAACTCAAGACAACTGCTTCTTGTTCTGTCATCTGTCACTACTGAGAACAGCCTAGTTCCATCCTCTTTGGAACCACCCTTCAGGAGTTAAAGGCTGCTATCAAATCCCTTCTCAGTCTTCTCTTCTGCAGACTAAATAAACCACCCAGTTCCCTCATCCTCGCCTTATAAGTCATGTGTCCTAGCTCACAAACCATTTTTGTTGCCCTCCACTGGACTCTCTCCAGCTTGTCCACATCCTTTTTATAGTGAGGGGCCCAAAACTGGGCAGGGTACTGCAGATATGGACAGCAGTGCAGAACAAAGTGGAATAATCACTTTGCCTGGCCTGCTGGCAACACTCCTATCAATGTAGCCCAGTATGCCATTAGCCTTCTTGGCAACAAGAGCACACTGCTGACTTATATCCATCTTGTTGTCCACTGTAACCCCCGGGTCCTTTTCTCCAGAGCTGCTGCCTAGCCAGTCAGTCCCCAGGCCATAGTGGTGCATGGGATTCTTCTGTCATAAGTGCAGGACTTTGCACTTGTCCTTACTGAACCTATGAGATTTATTTTGGTCCAGTTCTCCAACTTGCTTAGGTCACTTTGAATCCTAGCCCTACCCTCCAGTGTATCTACTATGTCCCCCAGCTTGGTGTTTATCTGCAAACTTGCTGAGGGTGCAGTTCACCCCATTTTCCACATTGTAAATGAAAATATTGAACAAAACTGGCCCCAGGAGTGACCTCTGGGGCACTCCACTTGAGACTGAACTGTCAACTAGATCTCGAGCCATTGAGCACTACCCACTGAGCCTGATGTCTGAGCCAGCTTTCTATCTACCTTACAGTCTGTTCATCCAACCCATACCTCCTCAGCTTGGTTGCAAGAAAGCTGTGGGAGACGGTATCAAAAGCCTTGCTAAATTCAAGGTATATTATGTCCACTGTCTCACTGCTTTCCCTACATCCACAGAGCCAGTTATCTCATCACAGAAGGTAATCAGGTGGTCAGGCATGACTTGTCCTTGGTGAGTCCACGATGACTGTTCCAAATCACCCTCCTCTCTTCCAAGTGCTTAAAAATGAATTGTTTGAGGACCTGCTCCATGATTTTTCTAGGGACTGAGGTGAGGCTGACTAGTCTGTAGTTCCCTAGATCCTCCTTCTTCCCTTTTTTTAAAGATGGGCACTATATTTCCCCTTTTCCAGTTGCCTGGGACCTCCTCTGATCGCCACAAGTTTTCAAAGATAATTGCCAGTAGCTCTGCAATCACATCAGCCAAGTTCCTCAGTACCATCAGATGCACTGCATCTGGCCCCATGGACTTGTACGTGTCCAGCTTTTCTAAATAGTCCCTAATGTCTTCTTTAACCCATGAGGGCTGCTTACCTTCTCCGTGCTGCTTGGTGCAGTAGTCTGGAAGCTGACCTTGTGTGTGAAGACTGAGGTAAAAAAGGCATTGAGTACTTCAGCCTTTACCTCATCATCTGTCACTAGGTTGCCTCCCCCATTCAGTAAGGGACCCACACTTTCCCTCACTTTCCTCTTGTTACTAAAATAACTTGTAAGAAAC